TGGTTGGGAGCAGGTTAGAATCACCTCTCTGGATTTGAATTCAAGAATATAGTTTGCTTTTAAGTTGAATCTGAATTGAATTGATTTTTTTTTAACCCCGTGGTTTGTTTGTAGTCAAAGGCAACAGAACTTCCCCAAAGTGCCTTGCTCCTAAGAGTTCTGCCAGTTTAAGTTTAATGGGAACAGTCCGTTGTTAACAAAGTAATCTGACACTGTACTGCTAGCATCAATAATGTTATTTCCTATAAAATTCATTAACATATTTTAATTCCAAATATTTGTAATTAAAAACAACAGCCGCAAAGGAAATAGTTATATATCCAGGACTAGACGTCCATAAAAGGAATATAAAAATCATCATGCATTTTAATAAGTGAGGAGCACAGCTCACATTCAAATGGCTGCTGTCCCTCCATGTTGGCATGTGGGCCATCTGCTTATGCAGCAGCTGCTGAAACATCAGCACTTAGAGCCAGACTGAACAGGAAATTGGTGCTATTTTACCTGGGCTTAATTGTTTGTAAATAGCCATGCAGCATCGTTTCTTCCAGGAGCTGAGCTCCTCCTATTTAGCAATGGAAACATGGAGAGAGGGGAGCCCAGAGGAAGAAACAGCTATCCTAAATAAGCCAGCAGCTTTCATGAATCCATGCTCTAAAATGAATATTAAAAAAAAAAAAAAAAAAAAAAAAGCTCTGTGGATAAGAACCTCAATCCCCTCCCTCAGCCTCATACCTATATTTTTATATCTTTCTGCTCAGGACAGAGCTCAGGGAATCCTTGTTCACTTTGCCATGAGTTATTCTATGAAGACAAGCTATACAAGCAATTGTAATGTTCTTCCTCTTCATCCTCTTCCTCAGGAAAGATCCAGAACCTCTCAGCAGTCCTGAAATATAGTATACAGCTATGGGACATGAATCCCATTATCTGCTAAGAAGATGTAATGATGAAATGATATATAAAAAACTTTAAAATAATGTATAAATTCTTCCTTCAGAAGTGTGCGAATTCCTCCCCAATAATCCATCATTTATTTAGAGAATAAATAAATCGCAGTTTCAGGAAGGCTGAAAGACACATGAATCCGTATCATTAGGAGAGTTGGCTGTAACAAATTGGTGATAATATGCTTATTATTCCAGGCTGTATCCCACCCGAAGAAAAACACTATCGTACAGAGTTTACACCTTATCCAAGTGAAATGTGCACGCTTACAAAGGTACTGTAAAATTAAGTAATACATCAATGCGTTTCCAAAATCTTCTTGGCATCAGCTTTTGTAAAGTTGGAGTTTCATATTTATGTTGCAGTTTATGGATAGCCATAAACTTCACGGAAAACATTTCCTAGCTGGGAAAGGACTGAGGATCTAATTCTACTTTACCTCTTCTAATTTATTTTGCACCATAAATGATGATGAAATGTTTCAAAATTAAAAACTTTCAGTTTCTATACTTTGCCTATACATTCTAGAAAAGTAAATCATATAAATGCATTTCCCCTGAGCCAGCAGCTAGAGTGACATCATATAAAGGGAATGTACACAATGCCGAAAGTGTCCTGCTGGTTTGTGTTAGCTTCCTTGGTCAGACACATCCTGTGTAGCACTAGTTAAGCTTTACCAGTTTGAAAATAGACAGATAGTCTGTCTGAGCAAAGAGCAAACCAAGAGCTCGCTGTGGAGCAAAACTTCTCTGCAGCCAGCAAACAGAGCAAAGCTGTCAGGACCATTTAAAGGTGGGTGCTCAGGCACAAATGTGGGTCACTGCTCTTCCAGGAGAAATGTAACCCTGCCTCCTCGAAAAGGCTGCACTAGGGAGCAGAATGAGAGAGAGGAGAGGTGAAAATTACTGTAAAGAGTCTTTTAAAATGATCCCCTTCAGCCAGACAAAACTTGACATACTTCCCAAACCAGATGGGTAAACTGACCTGGGAACTAAGGAGAAAGCAGGTCCTTGGGCAAGGAAGGGAAAATAAATGCTGTTATGTGTTTAGAGCAGATGGTGTGCCATGCTCAGTCAGGCCAGATAATGGGGGCTTCTTGGGGACTTTGCTGGGGCTTTTCTGCAGTTTCTGTTTCACTACTGTGAGCAACAAAGACACGTATTTCTTCTTAGTTGGAAGTAGTTCGTTTGTGAGGATGGATTTAAAAAGCTCTCTGAGGAGGAAGCATGGGGTGGCATTTCTTCCCTTGATACAAATTCAGCTCCTGAGGTGGTTAGTAACATCTGCACATGTAACTGTGGAGCTGCCATAGATGACATGAAAATAAGCCTTAATATTTTTTCCTTTTCTCTTCTTTCTTCCTTCCTGAAGGCCAGCAGTTATACAATCCCTTCTGAAACGTGTGTGCTACAATAGTGGCTAACCTAGTTTTATTTTCATTTTGGAAGATATTGGGTGACTTAAGGCTGGACACAGCCAAAAGAAGTTTTTATCATGTCCCTTATAGAATCCCATCTTGAATCCCTTAGAAGATTAACTTTTTGAAAACATACCCCTATCCTAAATGTATAACTATTTTGACAGAAGTTCAAGCAACATGGTGTTCGTGTGTCAATGGGTGATGAAGGCATCAGCATTTTTATGGCAACTTTAGTGTGCATTCCTTATCTCTAAAGTAACCACTAAAAATTGAGCTGATGTCCAGCTGATGGCGATAATACAATTAGTGCTGTCGTTGTGGTTGATCAATGGGTGCTTTGAAGATTGAGGTCCTAAGGGAGATTGGTGAACAGAAAAGAAAAACCACCAACAACAACTTGTATTTGAACTGTGTATTTACTGAAAGGCCTCAAGCCACCAGTAGGAGGTATATTGGGCAGATGGATTGGCAGAGCCACACAGACAGCTGGTTCTGCCTGGCATACAGGTGTTTAATTTGGCTGCTTACAGATTAGCTACTAGATGCCAGAATTTTTGAGGGAATCACCTTGTTTGAGAAAAAGTGGCTCTTGTCCATTCCTTATAGCAAGTTCAGCGAGTGAGCCAGAGTGGCTATTTTCACTTCCTCCCTACTCATCTCTGACATGGTCCAAAAAACCCACTCGCCTTCTGCCAGAGTCAGGTTTAGGTGGGAGAGAAAACAGTCTTTGTAGTTATGGCAGTGTGGTTTTTGCCTTTTCTTGTGGTAGAAACAGAAGACGTAGCAAGAACAGACACTGGTGCTCAGTATTCTCTTTTCAGATTACAAGCTATCGTTAACGTTTTGTCATTCTGCAGAACGTTTTTATCTCATTTTCAATAGATTGACAAACATTAGCCGAGCTCTGTGTGCCTGTACTTGAAAGAATGTTTTTCAGTAGTTCCAAGATGAGCTAGTCCTTGAATGTAAGTACGTTGGGATTCAATCTGAGAAATTTTTGAGTTTTGTCCAAAAGTTAGAGTGCAGAAATAGCTGTATAACACCAGCAAAGCCAGTCTGCTGTGTTCCAAGTTGTATTGAGCTATAAAATAAATGTACTTGATGCACTGCTGATGGATGTCATTTTAGAGTCTCCAATAATGGTGTCAGATACACATGACAATGAAATGCTCTCGCCTAGAACACTGGTTGTCAAATTCAAACCTGGTATAAATAGGTTAGGAAAACTTGCCCAGAGCATAATATTGTCACTGGTGTACTTTTCTTCTTATGATAAGTGTGTTTTCAGATAGGATGATCTAAGATGGCTGTGGAAACCAAAATTCTCCTGCTGCATTTTTGCCTGGTATCCCAACCTGCCTGCTTTGTCTACCCAATCCCTTTTGCAGCATCTGTCTTTTCCATGTGGAAGCAGTTCTGTGAGAAAGAGACTGAGCAACCTCACTTTTAAATTCTCTGACTATTGTAGAGAAACAATAATCAAATGGTAATCTTTTCTTCTCTTAATTGAAACAATAAGAATATATGTAGAATGTAATAGCTTGTTCTTTCTCCACAGAAAAGGCTGGTTTTCATACTTTACATAATAAGCACTGAAAATGCTATTAAAATACTCTTCCTAATACCATGCTTTATGAATGCAAGATGTGTAGTCAACTTCCTGAACATTGCATTTAAAATGTAATTCCTATCATCAGGATTCACTTGGTCTGCAGGCTTTGTTGCAGGCACCTGTATTTTGTGCTAAAGAAACCCGTGTGAAGACTCTGGGCTTGTCAACTTCTTTTAGCAATGATTTCTGTTAGCGGGATTGTAACAGCAGTTATATTTGGTTAACAGATAGACCCTAATATACATGTATATGGGTTTGTGTGCATATGAATAACATGAAATGGGTATTCTGTATATACATACAAAACTAATTCTGCAGCTAAGTTGCTAGACATTGCAATTTACAGTAAAGCTACTGGACCACAGTGACAGACACTCTGTTTCCATGTGTATGCTTGTTGTATTTTTTAAGGATTTTTTTTTTTTTTATAAGGAGTAGATGTCAGATAACTATAGAAAAATTAATGTGTTTATATTTGGGATGAGCAATCCTGCTATGTTATTTCCAAGTCTGCCTTAATGCTACATGTTTTCATTTCATTCCAGAGAGATGGCAAAAAAGGGAAAGTGAAAAAAAAAAAAAAAAATTCAATGAAAATTCAGGCAGAGCCAAGTAAGAGTGAAAGAGTGGAATAAAAAACGAATCAAGAGAAGCCTGTGTGTAAAGAAGCAAAGTGGGAAAATGAAAATTTTAATGCAAATAAGTGTCTGTGCCAGTCTAGTATTTAGAGACTGCTCTGTTTCAATGGAAGTTCAGTTAGTAGAAACCCAGCGTTATTAAAACTAAGAAAAGGGAGTCATTCTTTGAAAGGAGTATGAATTTAACTGATGGAAGAAACAGGTCCACGAACTGTAGCAAGTTTTATGAACACTAAATATAGTTTGAGAGGTTTGAATTGCTCTTTTAACTCTTATGTATCTTGGTTTCTACTGTACACTTGTAAATCATGACAGTTCTCCAGACAAAATGTGTAATTTAGTGGATTGGTCCTAAAACTGCAATCCTTTTTTTTTTTTCTTCTTCTTTTTTTTTTTTTTTCCTTTTCAAGTGTTCTTAACATTCATATTCCTTATATTCCTTTCTGTGTGGTATGATTGACTATAGCCGTACCACTTAATGATGTGTCTCAAGAAACCTTGTGCCATCCCTTGACCTACTGTTATACAACAGGCCAGTAGCATTAACATATTCAACAATGACACAGCTGAAGCATTTCAGCATCTGCCCTTACAGACGTGTAGCTGTAAACGAAAGACAGTATTTTGGTTGTTTTATACATCCATAGTGCTTTGTCTGAGTTAATCAATGTGCTTGTATGACATGATTAGTTACAGTTACTTTGTAACTCTTTTTTTTTATAGGTGTGGTAGGTGTGAAGCAATTAGGTAATAGCCTATGAATCCAGAGCAGTCATTAGAATACCATATGGAACCTGGATAGAGTGACAGTGGTATTACACAAATGTATTGGGTATTTTTGTACGGATGTATTGATTTTTATTTAGAAATGAAATTGGAAAAACAGTATGGTGGGTCTGGACAAATGATCCCCCAGCAGGGCTGTACCATTATAGCACAGTGGCTTTCCTCCAGCCTGAAGCTGTGCAGGTGCCAGGACTCAGCAAACCAGGAGCTCAAAAGAATCAAAGGGTAATTGTCATTTGAAAGGCAAATCATAAAATGACCGGCACCTTCTTTTCGTAGGTGGCCCTGGAGACTTATCCCAGGCAAGACCCCCAGAAGAGCAGCGTTCTGGAAAATTACACCTCTGGAGCGGGTTTGGAGGCTGGCTTCTCACCGCAGCCCCGCACCTTGCAAGCGTCTGCCACAGCCGGAGCTTGTACGCTCAGCCTGAGGTAAATCATAAAAGTTTGCTCCTGAACAGTCATTTTGTTGAGTGCCTCTAAATCTGTTTTTGCAGTCACGTCAGTTCACAAGTTGACAGTCAGCTTAACTTAAAACAGAGAGCACAAGCTTCACTGTCTTCAGTGCTGTGAGGCTGCTCTGGAAGACGTGGTGTCTGCTCCAGCTTTCCCTCCCTGGGGTACTGCAGCTCCCCATAGACCCCTAGCTGGTGGCTGAATGCCACAAGTTACACTTCTGAATGTGTCATTACTGCTGTTTGACTGTAGTGACTGATTTACTGTGCAAGTCTGCGGTTGTACTGTAATCAAAAATCCATGTGGCTTTGGGGAGACATGAGAGGGTAACCAACATTAGTCTAGGGTGGATTTGAACTCAGTAGGTGTCGAGTTGTCACCAAAAATATTTACCTTCCCTTTAATGTGCTTCACAGTAGATTACCTTCTTATTCTAAACAAACAAACAAAATATAATGAATTAAAAGACCTTGTCATATATTAAAGAAATTCAAAAGACTTAAAAGAGGGGAACAAAGGGGCAGTCATACAGAATGTGATATCTGAAACAAGAGCCAAGTTTAAAAAATGATTAGCTGTTTACTGGCCAAAGAAAACAAATCTCTGTTAGGCCTAACTTGCCTATTCCTCTCCTAAGTCTCAAATACCAACACGTGGGAGTTCTATGGTGGAAATTTAGGTTTAATTCTGTTTTGTTTTACTTGGCAATTGTATTCCTCTGACCTTATTGTTTTTCAGCATTCAGTATGTTTAATCCTGCATCTCAATATAAGGTATATTATAAGAGCATGGTCAATCAGTCCTGCAAAATAATATAAACATCACTTCTCCTGGTGACATGTAGCATAATTTCCAGGGACTGACCTAGAGGAAAAGCTTCCCTTACAGCATATTTTACCCATGAAGAACCCATTTCATGTCTCCACAATAGATAGATGAAAAAATGTACTAAATATCAGTCATAGCTAACTGCTACAACCATAACCTTCATTCTTGATTTGGAATCCATTGATAAATGAACTTGTGCTAATACAGCATTTTTGTGTTTGTGCTTTTAGGGAGTAAAGTGATGCGTGGTTTGGTTTTCTCTAGAAAATAAGAACAGCCTCACAACCCATGGGTTTATCTGGTCCAACAGCCTGTCTCCAAAAGTGGAGCAGTGCAGACAAATCTGTCATGATTCCTGAATGTGCAAAACAGCAATATCAAAAGCTGGCATAAAATCATTTTGCCATCCAGTGTTCTGGGCCAATGTTAGACACATGGTACTGAGTAACAAAGATTGACTTTACCAGCAGAGAAGGGATGCTGGCAGAAGATGAGGAGGAGAATATTTTCACCAGTAGGCAGAACTCCTGTTAGTATAGGATTCCTAGTTTGTGCCTCATCAGGTAGAAGGATGGCAAGGATGGCAGAAACAACAGATCATGGCCAGTGGGGTAGATGATAAATTGCATGAAGACTTGAAGCAGCTGGAGAAAATCCAGGCGTGTTGAGAATATTACTACTTCAGGAGCTATATGCCTGAATGTCAATGTGTCTAGTGTCGGCAGCAGAGACCTGTTGGAAAAAACAGAAGTGTCAGGGAAGAGTAAGAACAGAGCAAGAAAATATGATATTTCTGTCATGTACTCTCCTGTGTTCCAACTGTATTTAGTTAAGGGAATTTCCTGAACTTGTTGTGATTTCTCTATATAGGAACCTCTGAGGATTTCTTTTCCAGGTATTTGTTCAGATTCATATAAAAATTGCATAAATTTCTTGCATCCCTGGTATCCATTTTTGAATTACACTGTTACCTCTTGCATGAAGAAAATCTATACTTTTGCTTTGAACCTGGCTTTCATGTGTTTGTGCTTGGTTCTTATGTTGAAAGAAACAGCAGTCATTCATTATCTAACCCTGTTATGCCATTAATGATTTTGCAACCTTCCACTCTTTATGTGAAGATTCCCAGCCTACCTACCTTTGTTTGTTTGTTTGTTTGAAAGCTCTTCTGAACTTTTACTCAGCCTTGTTACTTTTCTCAGAATATTGGCCTTTTCTAACATACCCTCTCAAGCTGAGGGCACCAGAACTGCACACAGCATTTAGAGTGTGGGTGAGCCATGGATTTATATGGTAGCAAGAAGATATTGCCTGTTTTGTCTTCTATTCACTCCTGATCCCTCTTTCTTAGGCCTTTCTATGTGACTTTATTCTAAGAGATGTATTGTGAGTTTTCCGAAAAATAAAGTAGGAAAACTGGTAATTATGTTGGCCCTCCTGTGAAAAGGTCAGATTTTAAAACAACTTAGGTATCCTTATTCCATTTATTCTTCAGAAATTGCATACCTTTCCTTCTGGAGTATATAATTTCCTTAGAATCACAAGTCCAATTTTTGAACAGGCATCTTGAGTTGTATGTGTTTCTAAATAAATCTCTTAATAAAAGAGATTTTATAAATATTAAGAGATTTATAAATAATCTTTATAAATATCTTAATAAAATACTATTACCTCTCAGCTGAATTCTCCCTTCAAGAAATGCCATACACATTTAAACTTGTAGCATTACATAAAAAAATTATGTGGACTGTAGACGTTATGCTTGGGATATTTGTGTACTTAATATTGGCTAATGTGTGGCTTATGTAGCTGTCCTTTAGCTCCCTGATGTAATAGGAAAAACAAATCTTTCAACATTGCATTAAATTCCACAGGATGTTTAGGAATAGGAAAACAATAAATTATTCTAATCAATTCTATAGGTTTTCTTTCATAATCTCTTTGCTGCTGTGCCCTCTTGTTGAAATTATGTCTATTTCCACTTCCTTTGTAGTGTTATATTCTTTTTTCTTGCACCCGTTTCTCTCATAAAATACTCTTTTTTATCACATTGTTTGCTTAAATTATATTGTCCTCACTGCAGTCATTTTTAGAGCAGAAACATTCAAGTTAGGTTTATCTAGATAGCTTTTTTAATACTAATAGTTTAGAGAAACAGTAAGGAGTTTGGCAGGCTAATTTGCTCAGTTTCTACAGTAAATCACAGCTTTGACTAGAGCTTGACAAACCTCGAACCAGACAGTTTAGAACTGGTTTCGGGTACATCTCGTTATTCTATGAAAGCTGCTATGAATGTATACTTGGATGGATTTTCTGTAGCTCTTTGAAAGTCTGGCCTCTGTTTTCTAGTCTTTGCATTTCTTCTGTTGTGAAAACGGAAGAAAATGAGCTAGTATTTTACCTTACTCCTTCACATGCCAAGCATCTTAAATAATTTCGGTATTGTAATGACTCATTCAGTTAGAGAAACTTAATGTCCTTTACTCACACGAATGTTTTAACCATCATAATACTTTTGTGAACTGGTTAAATGTTATTAACCCCCTCCCCACCTTTGTATTTTTCCAGCTGAAAAGCACAGATAAAAGAGATTAGAAACTCCATTTTCAAAAATGGTCTATTTAAAAAAAAAAAAAAAAAAGCAAAAAAAAAATAGGAACAACGTTTTGGATTTGGATGTTAGTCATTCTACCAGTGTCACTTCGGAAATTTAGCCGTTTTGGCAACGCATCTTTTGAATCTTGCTTTTCAGTTTTATTTGCACATTGAAAGTATTGTTTCAAAATGAAAATAAAAGCATAATTTACTTCGCTAAGAGTCAGTTCTAGCAAGAATAAATACTACAATACTGAATTCATCGTGGTTGTAAAGCTGTGCTCCAGCAGTTTATTTAATAGTGATGTTATTTATAGAAAGCTCCTTCACGTGATGTTGTTGCCAGTAACACAGATGTCCCTTGAATGCACTCTATTTTAAATAAAGGTGAAAGGCTAAGGAAAATAGAAAAAGAACCCACCTTTAATATTTGAATTCAACAATAACAAGCAGGGTGTGGCCTCTCTGAAAACGTGGCTTGTCGGATGCTTGGGAGAAGGGAAGGGTGGGAAAGCTCTCTGCTTACAAGTTCCACAGTCTTGTTAGCAAAAACACATCTGACACCAGTGATTGTGGCCTGAGAGATACAGGGAGAACGGGTGGTGCTTGCAGTCATTACAATGAATAGAGTGTCCTGCTTAGTACTTGGCATATGGCCATGCAATAAGCTTTTTTAGGGGTGTTAATGTACTTAATGTTTGAGAGTTGTGAATGAAAACATGAGAATTGTTGCCTGCATATTTTAAAGGGAAAAAAATAGTTACCTTTTTTGGACTGCTTTTCTTTTCCCCCAAAGAGACTGTGAGGTTCTTCACATAAAGCTTATTCTGAAAGCTTCTTCTTCGTGTTTAATTCACTGTAATTAAACTGGATGCTCAGATATTTTCAGCATTTTAGGTGAGACTTACAAGCTATTATTTAAAAAAAAAAAAAAAAGCCTTTTCCCATTTGACAGTGGTTTGGTAGTGAAAGAAGTTCACGGGAATGTGGGTAGGTCAGAGACAGAAAAAAGTACATTTTACGCATGGATAGTCGTCCTTGCAATATCAGGAAATTTTCATATTTATTATTATTATTATTATTTGATTGAATTAAAAGTGATGAACTAAATTTTCCATGAACCAAAATTTTAAGGTTTAAGTAGTATGTATTTACCTGAAATCAACGTAGTGGAAGCTAGAGGCATCCTAAGCCTGGAAAAAAAATCACATATAGATCCACCCAGAACAGACTTCCAGTAACCCACAATCACCCAGAACTCACTCTCCAACATATGAGGTCACCTGGAACAGGCACTTAGTTTTTTGAATTCTCCTTTTATTGGGGTTTATTCATTTAGTTCTGATTCGAGAGAAGTTAGAGCCTAAGAAAAAGTTTTAGTGTTGTATAAAATCACAGCCAATGTGCTTTGCTATTCCAGAAGACTCTACCAAATAACTTCAACTCCATCTTATCCGTGAAGAATTTTATTCTGAGAAAAGGGAGTATTTTTCTGAGTGTGTAGCATGGTTGAGTGTCTGCCATAAAACAGACTGTTCACCCCTCCAAAAATGATACAAGCAGGTTGTAGTGAGCCTAGTATCTAGACAGATTTTGTCTGGGCTCATTCAGCACATGGAAAAAATATTTCATCTCTTTTCTGCACAAACTGACACCACAAAGCCATTCCCATTTATTTTCCTGACACATTGTTGTGTTGTTCAATACTGCATGTAATTTCCCCTGACTTTGGAACAAACTGGTAGGATTGAGTGTAAGTCTGACATTTCTGTAGTTACAAGGAAAAATGAGATCATAAAATACAAAGTTAACTACTAAATAATGATTGGGGTCTCTGTACAGCAACATCAAGCACATCTGAAGTAAACAGCTTTAAGTTTTGCTAGCCAGATACTACGCAGATATTTCTGTTGCTTTCTATAACCTTGTACAGGCACTACAAAAATAAATAAATAAATAAATAAATAAATAAAAATCACCTACAACAAATTCGCAACTAGTCCTGGGCTGTCAACTAGAGAAAATTACCAGTGCCGCAAATGGCCCAAATAACACTACTTCCCTGTCTGTGTCCTCTTCTAATCACGGTAGAAAAATATCAAACTCCTTTGTAGACAAAAGCAGCACTAAGAAACTTGCAGGGAAACTAAGCATTACAAATTCTTGTTCCTGCAGAACTCAATAGTGGAAAAACAAATCTGCAGCAAGCTTAGAGAAGCTTGTAGCAGTTCAGGGATGAATGTTAAGTGCAGAGGTGAAAGACCTGTGCAGCAACTGGTGTCTTAGGAACTATGCTTTCCTTGAAGAACAAACCTGATTTGGAGTTCCATACTAGTTGAACTATGAAGTTAAAAAGTAAGTTGCATTTCAAAGATGTTTAAAAGGTACAAAAATCTTGACTCGCAACTATTTGTTGTCTGTTCAGTCCACCACAGTTGGGAATCAAGCGATTATATCTTATTTTTTACACCAATCCAATAAATGTTTGCTTATCAGTTTGTTCAAATTGCTGCATAAGCAACAGCTGGGGAAAGAAGTAGAGACACTTCTGAACAAAAAAAAAATATACCAATGATGGAAAAGTTCAGGAAACGCAATGACGACAGAGGGCCCTGGTAAAATGAAAACAGAAAAAACTGCAAAGAGAAGCAAGCCCATCATTTATGTGGAAGCACCTGGGCTCCCCCTTCAAATAGAGTCTATTTTGAAGGTGTTAGCAGAATGTAGTTATTTGTTATTTATTTGAAAACTATAGCTCTTATTCTTGTTAAGGACTAACTGCAAAAACTTCACAGTTCCTCTTAGATATACAGCTGGTAAATCAAAGGTAGCTCATGAGAACTGGGAGTTGCTTGTGTGCAACTGAGTCAGACGAATGGCATGGAATAACAGCCCTTCTCCTATGCCCTGTATCTTTTGTGCACCAAGACTTCTGCAGATGCTCAGGCATCTGGGCATTAAAATTAATTTCTATGAATGAGTGCTTTAGTAAAATGTGATCACTTGAATGGTCCTAGAAAGTTAACGCAAAGGCAAGAAGAGATAGATTTCAATTACCACATATTACCTAAACTGTCAGTAATTGACCATGAGTTAATTGTAAGGCACAGCACATTGGGTTGCAACCTATGGACTTTGGGAGATCTGAGTTTAGTTTCCTGCTGTAACACAGACTTCACTCTCTGAAGCTGGGAATGTCATCTAATCTCTTTTGCCCATCTCTGCCCTTCTGCTGCTGTTGTCTCTTCAGACTAGAGTCTCCTAAAAGTTGGCAGTCTTATGCTGCCGCACCAAAGCTCCATGCAGCCTGATTAGAGATGGGGCCCCTTGCACACTGTCATTTGAAAAATATTATAACACTGCTCATAAATAACAATGTTTTACAATAGCCCTTTTCTTCAGCTCCCAAGAAAAGGACACAACACACTGTTCAAGAAACAGCTCTCACGTGGTAATGTTAATGATGCTCTGAACTGCTCTTTAGTCACTACAGAAGTCAGAAGTTGTAAAATCCCAGCAAATTGGTGTGATTTTAACACAGGTTTAGGCCTGAGCTTGAAAATATTTCTTCTAAAGAGAGTTCCTTTGAAAAATTAAGGTGTGAAATGTGCTTTCTCAAAATGATTGTGGGTCTTTCAGGGTTTCAGGTTTTTTTCCCATATTTATTGGTGCCTTTTGGCTTGCTAATGCCTTTCTTGCTTGAAATAGCAACTTAAAAATGGGAGGAAAAAATCTGCTATTGCAAGTATATTAATGCAAGGTGATTCATTGCATGTGCACTGCAAAATGACAGCAGTGTGACTCCGTGACCTGTCCACGCTCAGAGAGCCTTTTCTGTCAAATACTTATGGTATGACTGGATATACGCTCAGCCTAAGATCTTTGTTTAGTAAATACTGAATATTCCCCTAGTCCTTTATATCCTGTCGTCATTTCCTTTGTACAGCTTGCAGCTGTAGTTTCAAGCCAATGTGCAGTTAGCTGGGTAGGCAGAGTTTCATAGTGTGTTTAACCGTGTAACTGAGACCTTTTCTCATGGTTTTTCCTCTCAGAGTTCTTGCAGCTCTGTAGCCTATACCAGCATCATCTCTGGGAAAGGTGTAATTAGTAGATTTGTTCATTATCTATTTCAGAAGCATGAATATACTGTAATATATATATACGTACATATATGTATAAAAGTAGGGAACTTGTTTGTCATGTAGTCATAGTTTGTGGTTTTGGAAAGCCACAAGCTCCAGGGTGGAGATAGCCATTGTATTACATTAGCTATTTTCTCACAGTTTAAGCAGCAGCAGCTCAAAACACTGTGGTCCAGACAGCAAAATACCCAACAAAGAAGCAGTTCCCTCTCGAAGGCCCACGTGTCTCACCAGGCCTCTGAAAAGAGGTGGGTGGAAAGGGGATGCTGGCAAGCTCACGAGTGCCCCGTGCATGGGGAAGAAATGGGAATGGGGAAAGGGAGAAACTGCAGTGGTGAAGCCATGTGATAGGGAACGTGAGCTGGGTGAAACAAGTGGGGTAGGAGGACTGCTTACCTCGGGTCTTCACAGGACTTGCTCCACCGTAATGCCTATGTGTGTGTTGGCTTTCAGTAGCAAGGGGGAAACCAGAAATATAGCAGAGAGCTTCTGGCAGTTTTGAGTCATGGGCAGAGCACATGGGCTTGGGATTGAAATTTTCCTTTTTTTTTTTTTTTTTCTTTCCCTCCAATTAATATGGAAATGGAAATAATCACTGTGAATATTTTCCTTTTATGTTGTCTTCTTCCTGTATGATTCTGCTGTCTGTGTTGACTATGCAAGTGATTAACACCAAGCTAGAGTTAATTAATTGTATAATAAACATCGGTGTCAGGGCTGCAGCCCTTCTCTGTTCTCACTCTGCGTAAGCTCTGCTGATGGGCTTTGGTTGTGTAGGAAGGGAGTTTGGGTACGTTCATTGGGAGATATAGAAACAGTGAGCCCCATCCAGGTATGGCACTGAGCAGATCTTCCATGGGAATGTGATTCAGCTCTGTGACACAGAGGTGGAAGGCAAGTTGTTATTTTCCCCCTTTCTGCCTTGCAGGATGTATATGTGCTTCAAAGCCACAGTGTGAAACCTGCAAATTTTGGAAGCACTCAAACTTAGCACCTCCTGGGAGTTATTCTATAAAGGATGCCGGAAAGGCCACAGAAAAATAAACTCACTTGAGGTAGGATTCATGCTCAATTCTCTGAAAAAAATTACTCTCAGCTTAAGCACAGTAATCCTGAAGAAGTAATGATCAGCAGGCAGCATCCCATTTTCCATGCTTACCACCTGGACCGATGCATTGGTGGCCTCAGTTACAGCTTGTTCATGTCTTGTGTCAGATATTTACTTGGGCCAGGGCCTGTGGTTCATGCCTCCTGCCCTGCACTAGCAGAGAAAGCGGTTGAGACCCAGTACTTTTGCTAACAGGGTGTGTCATTCCACATGAAGGGAGGCAGCCTCCCAGAGATGGTTTTTCCAGCGTTAAGACAATGGAATAGCGCAAGATTTCAGGAACATGGAAGCCAGAGCCTCTCTCTGAAATAGAAATTATTCTTTTGACAGGGTAGCAGAAGAAAGATGATAAATAATGTTATCACTCTGAAGGAAGCAATAAATTTACAATGTCCAGAGTATCAAACCAATGATTAGCTCATTCAATTTCAAATTAACCTCATTAAATTTTGTAAATGTAAAACCTCTTTTGAAAAATGACTTCAAAACTGAAGCTCACTCTGGAGAAATGGCTGGAATTCGACCTCTTTCTAATAGCTTTAATTTTTTCCCTTTTACTCTAACATATTATGATGGCGCCAATAAATACAATAAGCTGTGTCTTCTGCCAGAATACTTCATAAAGTGTTATCTGTCTTCCAGGGGGCTGGGGAGGGGAGATCTTTTAGTTTAAAAATTAAGTGAATTAAAAGAAAGAGATTATATAGAACATGTATTTCAGGATTAGACAATCTCAGAGGCCATGTTCAGAATTAAAAATGTTTTTTATTGGACTTCCATGCAAATGGTTCTTACCAATTCATTTACACCACTAATTATCTTGCAGAAATAAAACTGCTTCATGAAGGCTCAGATCCTGGATCCCAGCCTGCAGCTTCACAGTCATTTCTGCTCACGGGAATTTTAACACGATATTCCCCCAGGTGCTACAATCGGGTCAACAGCTCTCCTGGGAGCTCGAGCATAGACACAGCTCCGTGGGAGTCAGACAGCTTTAGCACTGCTCACAGCAGATGCCATCCAGGGAACATGAAAGGAACATATATTTATTATCTCCAGGCAGACTATGGAGAAGGAACAGCTCTGTATAATGGCTTTCCTGCTCCACAGTTCCCCAGGGTTGTTGCTCAGCTGGAAGAACGGACAGGTAAATCAGCAATCTGCCTCTGTCCTGCAGGTGCTGGTATCCTCTACGCTATTTGGCCAAAAAAAAAGCTAAGCTGTTTGCACTCAGCTTCATGATATGTGAGGGTGAACATCACTGCCATTTCCAGAATTAAACATTGTCAGTGTAGCAAGGCTAGCTCTAGCAGTACAGATATTTTTTATTTTTGGGGAAGGGGGTGGGCTGGGATTTTTTTTTTCTTTTGTTTCTGAAAACACTGCAGAGAGCTCTTTCTGTTATCTGGCTCTCCCACCTGTTCCAGCTGCGCTCGCAGAGTTGTGTTTAGTTTGCAAGGTTCAAGGTTAGCCTGAGGTTGGGCTCAGACCATGGCCAAGAAATGTAAACACGTAAAAGGCATGTGGTATGAGCACACTTGGGAAATGCCATATGGTGTTCTTCCTCCTCCCCATCCTTGCTAGTGAAAGGCCGCTGATATTTTTGCAATGAACCCTCTAAGAAAGAACAGATAGCACCAAGACAAAACTGCAGCAGAACAAGGCTGAAGCTCAGATGAGAGTTTACCCCTTGTCTGAAATGCTTAATCACACAAAGTGATTCAGGGACTGGTGTCTGTGGACTCACTGTTTCTGCCTGTCTGGCGTAAGCCATGGTAAGAAAGTCATCTCAATCATTTCAGGTGCATCCAGGCTGCTTGAACCTGTTTCCAGTGGCCCCTGGGTATGTCTGCATTGCATAGTGGAGATCCCAGCTCTGGCTCCAGGCAAGTTTTCTCCAGAGGCAGGAGCAGCACAGCTGTGTCACTGTGGTGCTTTGCATAGGGCTAATTGTAGTGCTGGTATATCTGCATGGCTGTGCTCCAGGCTGCACAGCTCTACCGCCTCGTTCAGGCAAATGGGGATAACCCTCGTACAGCTCTGCCTTTTGCAGCACAAAGATTTGCTCTTCTCACACACTCCAAGGATTTCTCCTAACTTCAGTTTATGCAATTGCTTTAGCTAATTGCTATCTTTTTTTTCAACAGGAGATGAACCCACCACAGAAATCAGCCCCCGCTGTTGCTAGCTGTGCTGAACTCCTGCCACGCAGTTGGAAGAGCTGGAGATCTCCAAATCAGTTTCTGATAAAGGCGATTAACATCCTACACCAAGGTATGATGCAATACTCATGTTCTTGCTCTAGAGGCCCTATTCTGAAAGCCCACCACCATGCAGGATTGCCCTGTGTTTATCAGGAAAGGCTGCCCTCCGTTGTCTTCTCCTCACGTACCCTGACTGACCCAGAACTTTCTCCTTTCCATCCTAACATTTTCCAAACAGCATAAACCCTCCACCAATTAGTATGTTGCACGAGCTCTAAAAACAATAAGTGATAAATGCTTCAAACCTACTAGAAAAATTACAAAAGGTCTATTTTTTTGTAAACCTTCCACGAATTCAGCTAGAGTTGTATTGCAGTGCCTGATTTCCCCATTCCCAGTTGGCTCACTTAAGTGTCTTGATTCCATAACCAGGTCTCCTGTGCAGCGTGTGACTGGCTGGAAGGCACCCCTACCTTTGAATTTTTCCTTGAAGAACTGGGCACCTGTCTGTAAGTTCTGAAAGTTTAAATTGTTCGCTATTTATGATTTGGTTTCTCTTGCCTGAAAATTCCCCTGGTAAAAACAGTGCCTGCTCTCAGCTTCTTTCTCGCTTCCCCAAATGTAACGGGGCCACATGGGTCATACATTGCTCCCAGCTTTCCCCCATACATTTGCATTGTATCTTTGCCACCCTGGCTAAATCTCAGGGCTGACCTACAGCCACCTAAGTTAAGGTTAACATTTCTGTTTGTAGTCAGAGTGTGTCCAACATAAAGCTCACCCACTCTTTTTTTCCCTTCATTTCTCTCTCTTTTTCTTTTATTTTCACACTTGCTCCAGGTACAGCATTGCGAGAAGCCAGTTTCAGTGTTGAAGTAGACTTAAACAGTCTGCATTTGGTCTCACCCCAACTCTGCATTTCTGTTTCCTTAGCTGCGATCCTACAACTGCTGTGGGGGCTCAGACCAGAAGCAGAAGCACTGATGTGATACAATAGCTATCCAGCTGGGTATAGGGGAAAGAAGAGGGCAGAGAAATGTGTTAAATTGGCTTTGTCTCGCACACCTTTTCTCCAGTAGAGTGGAAAGAAAAGTGTACTTGTACTACTGGAGCATGCAGGACAGAAAATGAGCAGCATGTCAGGTTAAACCAATTACAGCTCTGAGTAGTACGGATGATGTGTTAACGGGGCTTCTCAGATGAGTGACTTGGCCTATGCCTGCTCGTAGGGATGCTGGGTGGTATAATGACAGAATTTTCACATGGCCAGGATTTCATTACATCATTTGCTAGTATATAGCATATCACAAGGGAATTTTACTTTATTTAACATAGTAACAATGAACAGCTGGCTGTGTTACAGCCCTCTGTGTCAGTGAGGATACAGTCAAAATATATTAGTCTAGTTTAAAACATTCAAATTACATTTTTGTAGGTTGGCCAGTATGTGCTGTGAATGAGCAAAACAAGGAAAAGACAATTCAATAGTGGAAATAAAATGTCAAATATAATGAGAGCCTGAGCACTATGCAGCAGAAATGTTGGCATGAAAGGTGTTAGAGGGATTTAACCTACTTAAGGGACACAGATTACAAAGGCATCTAGTTTCCAAGACTGCTCTGTTGCCTAGCAGGACTTTAAGCCAGGAGTTATATATGATACGCTGTTTATATCACTATTCTGATAAAATTAGGGTTTGACTTGCTTGAAAATTCCAGTGTTAAAGATGTCAGTTATTAGCTCCTTTTGTGCCTCTGTGAGTTTAGTAGGGACATGTGATCATTCCTAGCTACTGACGCTGCCTGGTCTATTAGGATGGTGTCTGTACCACCTTCTTTCCCCTCCAGCTATACCAGTGAGTGACCTTCTCTACCAGTTTTGGTAGGTATAACAGAGAAATCTAGGACCATCTGCACGCCAGCACTGTGTGGTCTGTCAGAGAAGCTAACAACGCAGTTACAGCCTCTGTAATGGTTAACAGACTCTGCTCCATTAGCCTCTACTTTCTCGTTTATTTCTGTCTGGCCTTCGTCAAGTCTCCTAATTTTTATGAATCTCAGTTCACCAACAAGAGAATTAGGTTTAAGCACAATTTACTTGTGTGTTTGACAGACGGACAGAGTGCTGTAGTCTATTCCACAGCAAAATATAAATACCCCGCACAAACTTATCCTCCTGGGATTTTTAGTGAAGTTTACTGAAGCCTATACAGAATGATACAAGTTCATAATAGGAAGAAGAGGAGGACTTAGATGTCACTACTTGCCAGTCTGTGGTATTACCCACCGACCTTTCCAGAGCACTTTGCAAATGTAGTTTTGCAAGCTGAAAAGGACACTGTGTTCCCACAGCTGCTATAAAAGATCATTCTGTGTTATTAAAATACAGGATTGACAGGAAGCTTTCGCTGATGATTGGCCTGATTTTTTTCTTAAATACTCATTTTTATACCTTGGCATTTGTATTTTCCTAATGGCCAGTAGAATAACACTGTCATTAGCTTTTTTTGCCATTAGGCACAAGTAGATGTATTCAGCCTGCTCAGTCCTAGAGTAGTTGATTTCTTTGGGCATCAGTCATTTGTATCGCTTTTCTCAAACATCCTCTGGCTCACCTGTTGTTCTGCTTTGGTGATGGATGGCCAAGTCTAACTGGCCTTACCAACCTCTGAATAAGAAAACAAATTGGAGTCTCATTAGACAATTAAGTGTGACTTAGTTATACTCAGATGCCTGGGTGGAAGGGGATTCAAAACTGAGATTTAAAAGGAGAAAAAATAAATAATAATAATAATAATAATAATAAAAAAGGCAATAATAATGTTGGGGTATCATCTTCAAAGAAGGCTTTCAAAAAGGTGTCCCAATTTAAGATTGTACTTTGCTATTAGAAAAGTTTGAACAATATTTTACAGATTTTTTTTTTCCTTTAGAAAACAGTTTTGTGATCTGTGAAAGACAGTGATGGGGAAATGTTGGCCTTTTCCCCAGCTGAAGTGAATCAGAATCCATTTACACAGGGCCTCTGAAGCAAATATAGAGGGACTGATGTCTCACCTCTCACAGTCACTGGTGGAGAAAGTGATGACTGAAGGTTGTAAGGATGGGTGAAATTTCCCCACTGCAGACTCCCTGCTGCTTTGGTCTGTAACTGAGAAATGTACTTCTGGATACCATGAAATGCAGAGTCCTGCCTGCTGTCAGCAAGAAAACCACATTTTTGCCTTTCAAACAAGAGACATTGAAATGCAAAGCTGCTGTTCTTAAGCACAGAGAGATGTTAAAACGATTTATTTAGCTAATAAAAACGTGACTAGACTCTGTGTGAAGGAAGGTGCTTTCTACCTGTGGCTTCCCAGCTGATGAGGCAGGCAGTAAGAAATGCATGGGGCGCTTAGTAGGAAGGAGGGAAGAAAATGGAAAGTTCACAGTGCTGAGGCTCCTGACTGGGGTGAGTGAATTAGAATTAGACAGATGCAGTATTTCATGTTGGCTCCAACATCTCAAATGACAACCACACAGAAAACACAAATATAATAAAAATTGTATTGTCTTTGGAATAATGGAGAGAGAAATTTATTATGTTTGTGTGACAACAAATGATGTGATTAAGACTGCACTATAACAATTGTGATGATAGCTATTTTAAGGAACTTACACTTTTTAACAAATTCTCCTTTAAAGCCTTCTTGATTGCTGCAACAGCTGATAAAAAGAGTCATTCACAAGCCTTTTTTTTAAGCTTCTTAAAAAAAAAAAAATAAGGAAATTAAATAAAACACATTTCCTCATTCCAGGTTGCATCTTTTAACAAAAACAGGTTAAGAAACATCATAGTAGAATTCAGTGGAAAGTTTTCCCTATGTAGCGATTTCTATGTCTTCTTTATTTAAAGGCTACTTTAACACAGCTTTACCTAAAATTAAGCATCCTGAACATCGATAATTCTCTTTTTAACAATCCAGCATTGTCTTTATATTAAGGCTTTGATGTAGCATAATACTTAAGAATGTTCTTCACTCCTCAGGATTTAAGTGATTATTTATTTATTTATTTATTTATTTATTTATTTATTGCTAGATATCCATGAAGTTAAGCACGTGCTTAATTGATGTGTTGACTTAGTGCCTGAGGCAGTTTATCTGCAGTGTTCCTGTAAAATGCAGTGCAGTGTAATGGGCATTTCAGCCTGGGGCATTTCAGTGCTCACCAAGAGCTGATGCCGGCTGGGCTGGCATATCTGCTGGGAGGATATGCAGTAGTTAACAGCTGTGGTGTTAATGCTCTGCTCTGCAAGTAAAACATTTAATAAACCAGGCTGTCTTTACCCTTCATGTTGTCATTGCAGCTATTTTCCAGACACCGAAAGTTTAATTTATTTTTTAAAAGAGATACCGCATGTATAAACTGTAGCAAAGCTGTTTATTATTTGTAGACGTTGTATGTTTCACTGCTGAAGAGCAGCATCAAGTCTTTACACGGGATGTTGAATTTAGTGCTGCTAAGGGAAAATGATCCATCTTCCCTATGCAGAAAGCATTACGTCATGAAGGGATGGAAACAAAGAGCTCTGAGGGACTAGGATAGGCAAACTTCCCTCCTTTTACAGGAAATGGGTGAAGCCTTGCTTGAAATTATTATTCAGACGTTTTGTGCTGTGAAGGAAATGTCTCCTGATAGCACAAGCTATTGGTTTCCTGTTGTGAACTAACAGTTTTGGCATAACCAAGAATGGACAGGAAGGGCAAATGATTGGGGGTCAGCTGAAGAACTTATTTTAATGAAAAGACCAGCCCAAGAAAGTGGGAAGAAATTTACTCTGGAAGAAAAAAAAAAATAAAAAAAAAATTCAAGGGGGAAAGGAGGGAAGAAAGGGATCAGTTGTCGATTGCTAGGGTCTCGTTGTGGAAGTAACTAATAACAAAAAAAAATCCTCATCAAGGTTTAGCAGGGCTAGCAGAAAGCAGGGGATGCTGTTGTTGCACAGGAAGTATCATGGGGGGAGAAAGCCCTTTGTATCCTACCTAATTAAGAGCCTGATTCAACAAATATATATCCGGCTTCTACACTGAGGAAAGCAATTTTTGGAAGTTTTCACAGATGTGGGACTTTTTTTCAAGCGGGACCGTATAACAGAGGCACTTCCAAGTGCTATTTTTCAACCCTGCTGTATAAATAGCACTGCCATCAGGTTCCTGAAACCGCCTTAGCATCGGGCCCTCCAACTGCTTGCCCTCCATTTGAAGCAAAAGCAGGCAAGGGGAAGGGGCATGTGTGATGTTTTCCTACCTCAGACCTTCTTCCCAGCCCACTGCGAGAGCAGAAAGGCAGTGGCTTCCCCTTGGCTTTTCCTGAGGCCGCTGGGGATCTGTTCACCTTCACGAGCCTGCTAACGCAGCACCCGGGCTGCCCTCACATTGCTGTCTGAGTCATTTTTAACGCAGAATTTTGTGTTAGGTGCTCTTGGTAGCAACCACTCTCACTGCAAGGATCGTTTTGATTGTATGGAAATTTAAGTTGTAGAAAACGGCCGCCTACTACCGAAAACAAAACGTGAAAAGAGTCAATTGGTGTTTTCCTACTCCTGAAAGGCCTTCAGTGAAGTGTTTTTTATGATGCCAAACCCATAATAGTTTGTAACGCTGTGCCTGAATTTCTCTTTGGATTTAATTTAGATGGAATTTCAAAATCCATGTACAACATTTCTGCTTTCTACTCTTAGAAAAATACAAACTTCAGTCATATTTGAATCACACTTTCTTTTAACATATCCTTTTAAATATTTTTGTTTCCATTTAGGCCTGCCAACATTTCCATGGAAACCCCCAAAAATAAAGACTTTCCCAGCCTTGTGAGAGCACACCTGCAAGAGCAAGAATTGCAGTTAGCCTGTTGCCTGTCCAAAGTGAATCTCCTTCATTATTGGTGTCACCTAAGGACATTTTTCATGGTTGGTATGATTTTTTATCTCACAAAGTATTGAAAGTATAAACTTAGAATTTATACAATTTGAAATCTTGCCACGGAGCAGTAACAAAAGTCTGTTGTTATCCAATAGCTCTCTTTTTAATATACTATCTCAGTTTCAAGGAAAAAAAAATGCTTTACAGATTGTAGTGTTGAGATTGGAAGTCCTGAAAAAACAAGATGAAATAAGCACTCACCTCAGTGAGACAAACGCATGTACAGTGAAGTCCCAATGAGCTGTCTTACAAGAAATCTTTTCACTGGCTTCAGAAGGATTTGTATCAGAATTACAAAGACAATGAAAGAATTCATCTGCTTCTTCCTAGTAGAAAGGTGCAGCATGTTTACTATTGAACAGCTGGCTACTGTGAAAACTGATGTTTAGACTTTTCAACATTGCTGATGTTAGACACATACGCACACACACACATATATTAGAGAGCTAAATTTAAAGCAGTCTGATCTGTAATTTTATAATTGCAATTAATTCTGTGCAGTTTTCCAATTAAACAAAAATATTAATATAGACAATTAAAATGGCTTCACATGGATTATTTTTTTTCAACCAGAAGGCAGCTATGATAGTAGAACTGAATTCAGACAATCTGGAAATACATAAGAATAATATTTCAAGGTGATGTGCTTAAATTTCTTATATTAAAAATAAACTCAAGCTGACAAGATATATTTTTTTGAGCCTACTGTCATTTTTAGCTATATGAATTATATATCCTGTTTGCTAAATTGCTAAATTTCCTGTATATGAAGGCTTTTGATTTGTATGCATTTCTGCAGTGAGGTGTCAATTTGACAGCAAGTCTGCATCAGTAATGAGCACCACTGGGAAAATAGAGACTTTGCTGTTTCTTTTTACTAAGGAAATACTTACCATAGATCCCAAACCTAATGAAAAATTGAACTTTAAATACTGCTAAAAATACACCTTTATGTTACTAACGGTAATACGGGAAAATCTCCTACATATTGTTTTGATTTTTTAAACATACTGAAAAACTTAATTTAAATGCATTCAGGTCTCACCTAGGTTTGTTTTTCACCACTGCTTTATAACTTTGTGGCAGAATTGTTAGCCAACAAAGACAAACCTCAGAAATGCTAACTATAGCATATATGTCGTATCAAATGATCCCGTTGTAATTAATAGGATGTTCTGTGAAATTCCATGCTATTCCATATGAATATGAGTATCAGCTGTCTTGTCTCAAGGACTATGAAAGAATGAAAGGAAAGAGCAAACTCAGACCTCAAGCAAAGTGTTTTTGCTATGGAAATGAGTCTGAGGAGAGGGCGTTTCATTCACAGAACATGGGAACTGTATGTGACAAACAAGTGTCATGACTGTTGCACCATCTCAGACCACAATCTCATCAGAATATACATGTTTTGCAGGATTGGAGCTTCCTGTTGTACATATGAAAAAAAAATCAAAGAAGTCACCTGGTGTTTATAAGAAGAAACCTTCACAGAATGGCACAGGTACTGTTGATACTGGTCATTCACATGAAGACAGCTCCCTCCCACTTTTAACAAAATCCATGTCCTAACCACAGCATTAAATTGCTTTTTGCAGAACTTACCAGCTTTAAGTAAAGCATTATCAAAGTTCCAAATATTTGCAGTCAGTAAGGTTTCCATGTCACAAGAGAAATATTTTGCTAACAAATGCTGATTCAAATGTTGCGTATTCCCACTGCTTTGTTTTTTTCTCTAGGCTAAGTAGATGACTATTTAGTGCTGCTACAAAGCTGTCAAATTACTTCCACTCATCATCAAAGAGGCAGTTGTGTTTTAGCACTAGGTGGGGAGTTCTCCTGTGCACGCATTTCTGCTCAAAATGACCATTAAGTTTTGTTGCATGCTCATTGATACCCTTTAAGATGGATTGGTGTTGCAGATGGGAGTTCAGAGTTGAATGCCCCTGTGAAGGTGGGTGGGAATCCCAGTGGCAATAAGATTAAACTGCAGAAGGGTTATATGTGTTCTGAGTTCTTCAGTGGCAAATGCCATGGAACCTGCAGACAGATGAAATGCATGGCAATTCTCGTGCAGGGTCAGTTTTTCAGGAATGAAGTGGAGAAATTAATTGTAGAGAAAGTTGTAAACTGGCATAGATTTGAGCTCAGTCATTATAAAATTGTTCCTGTTCCTTTGGCTAGATGCTCTGTGTGAGTGTTAAAATCACCTCTTTCGTTTGTGCACGCTTTCTGGAAGTGATGAGATGAAAACAGCATACTACTACTTCAACTCAATAGGGAATGATTGGAACTGAAAAGCATGTATTTGTTTGGCGTGAATCATTCTGCAGTATGTTTCAGTTTCATTCTGAAGGGGAGGTTTGTTTGTCCTTTAAAGGCTTACTTAAACAGGAGAGGAAGCAAGAACAAGCCCCTGGCACTTTTACTTTGCTAATGCAGCTGATGCATGTCTCACTTCATACTGCTGATGTATTGCTAAAGGACATCTAGGATAGTTTCAGCTATTCAAGTTTTATTGTTACTACATCAAGCTTTTGCCACTGGTTCCCATGATTTTTGGCAGTGTGAACAAGTATTAATATTGAGATATGAGTGTCAGAGAAGGTTACAAATAGAGAAAGGTGATGGGTTTTGCTGTAATGTCTGTTGGTTCTACCTTGCCAGTAGCTTTTCAATGATCTGGATGTTAAATAGTTTTGTTTAAAAAACAAAGCAAATGCTAGATGGTGAAAGATGTCTCTTGAAGACGACTGATACAACGTGGAGAGGCTAACTTAATATTATAGCAACCACTGGGATTTGATTTTATCTACATTATTAAATAGTGCCACATTAAGGACAACTTTCAGAAAAAGAACTCAAAAGTTGTAGCTCCTACAAATGTGAAAAGAAATACCAGAAAAAATGTTAGCTATTCATTTCTCTGCTGCATCTCTAAGCTTAATTCTGCCTCGTAATCTCGTCCTTAAAAGACATGTTGAGAAGTAGAAGCTTTATTTTTCTATGTGTATTGCATTTCCTTCACCTGCTCCTTGCTCTGAACTTCCTACGTTAACTTGGTTTGTCAGTGTGAACTAGTGATAAACTGGGATCCCAGAGCAAATGGCTGCTTCTTAGTGATTTCTGTACTAAGTCTCAGGACCCCTTTCAGTCTCCTTGAGTTCCACCTGGAAAGTTGGTTGTTTCCACGCCAGCTGGGAAGACTCCTTGCTCAGATTTGCTTCCCTGCCGTACATGTCTGGCACTGTTCCTGAGGCTGGTCTGAGGAGCAGATCTGGTCACAAAAAGCGGCAAGTTCCATTACAGTTATGGCCACAGGGGTTGATTTATGAGAAGGGACGTGTGCTCTGCATGCTCCTGTACCTTCTGTGTGACAGTGACCTCAGGCTCCCAAACCTAATGCTCAGATGTTGAGGAGTCATCTGGAGGAGTCATCTTGCACTAATGCACAGTAGCTTTGGCATATAAATATATATATTTATATTTAATGTAGTTAACAGTTCAGGTCAGATCCCTCTATTCTGATTTATGTACAAGCCAATCATGGCTTAAGGATTGAACTGATGATTGTATTGTACCAAGGGAAGCAGAGTTTCTTGGAAACAAACACATATGTAATTTTTATGGGGAATTATTATTGTTGGAAAGAACAGGCAGGATTGAAGTCTCTTCCCTGGGTCTGAAAAGGAGTGGCAAGATCTAAGCTAGAGACAAGGATAGGCCCAATTCTTCTTAGTTTAATCTAATTGTGTTAGTCAGGCCACTTGAGAGATAAGAGTACTTTGTGTGTGTAGAGCTCCCTTCCATATTACAGCAATCATATTCTGTTGGGAAAAGTGGTGTTGCAAGGCGAGCTGTGCAGGCCCGTACATAAATTCTCAGCGAGACCTCCTGGAGTCCTTAATTGCTGTTTAGCCATACCGACAGCAAACACAGCACCTCAGCCCAGCCACATGGAATACAGGGTCTACAGCTTTCAGAAAGCATCTTTTTTAACATCATGATGTGATATTTGAACATAGGGCTCCACTGAACCTGCAGCCTCAGTGGCCACTGGCTACCTGCTGGGGGAGGCTCATTCCCTGCAAGAGACCTGCAGGAGCTCGGTGCCTCTCATTTCAGGAACCCCTTTGGGACTGCTTGGAGTCTCTCCCTGAGCTGGTGGGTGGAGGAGATTCAAATCAGGCAAATAGATGGATTACCAATAAGTCATGTTGTTTGGCCATCTGGATGTATGGCCGCTGCCAGGCTCATTTTTCAGCTTGATGACCATAATGATTTTGGCAATAGTTGTGGTTGCTCCCATTCATTCTTTCAATAATTTCCATTACCCTTGCCAATTATTTTGGGGGTCTCAGCATTTACTTTCAGAGCTATGTGTTTTTGTTTCATGATCTCTGAATGGCGATTTGCATGAGTATGTCTCTTTGGGACTGCTTTTGATCTTCTTAGAGCAAGTTTTACATACAGCATATGCCTTTTGAACTAGCTTGTGACAAAATGACTCAGACAATGCTGCTGTAAATAACCTTCCCGTAGCCAGTGAATGAAAAAGAGACAAGTCTCAGCTCTCAGCTCTCCATTTTGCTGGACAGGGCATGCACACTAAGCATACAGTGAGATGGAAAAAAAAAATGTTTTTAGGAGTGTTGTCAGTAGCAGATCCCAGCTGTTCCCTTGGATATAGCACACAGAGGGACTCCCTGTACAGGACTGGTTTCAGCTGCATTTTACTCTATGGTTTTGTCCATTTTTAGTATTTTGTCAGCCCCAACAGGCTGAAACAGGCATCTTCTTGTGTATTTTAAGCTAAAAGAAAAGTCAGCGAACAAATATTGTCTATATAGGAATCCAGGAGGAAAAAAAAACAGCATTATAGGATATCAAACTACTTGTTCTGAAGCATTGTTAAGTCTTACTCTGTCAGATACAGACTGTACAGCTCGCATCTTAGCCCGCTGGGGAAAAAAGGAGTTCCCAAACATGCTCAAAATACTAAACTGTTCCCAGGAGAGAAAAATCTAAACAAATGCTATCCCCTTGCTGAACACACCCAATCCTTCCCTAATCTAAACAGCCACTGACACTATCACCTTCTGCCAGCAACTCTCCTTTATTGTTAGGAAGGAAGGCTTGCGCTGCTTCTACAGGATTTTGCCACCTCTGTACAATTGCATGCCTCAGATACTCAACCAGCTGTGTGCTGCTGATTCTTCAAGGGGCTGACGCACACAGAAAGGGATTCTGTATCAGGATGCTTCTGTATTAAGACTGTGTGGTGACTGGTCGTTAGGTCATCACCAGTCACTCGTGAATCAGCAGCACACAGCGGGTTGAGTAGCTGAGGCTACTCACTTGGAGTGACTGGTGCTATCGTTTGCAAAAAGGACCAAACAGCAGACAGATTTTGGAAGAATAGTTTCAGAATTACATGCCTCCTATTATTAACATAGACCAGTGTACATGCGTATCACAAAAAAAACAGACAAGGCATCTCTAATTACCAAACCTAACTCATTAAAGTAGGGTTTGATAGCTCTATAGGCTTGATACAGATCAAGGCTGTACTTAGTAAAAATCATCAGTTAGCACCAGAAATAAAAGCATTTTAGATGTCATTTCCTTGAATATGTGCTTAATAGCTTCAAGTCTTTGAAAGCATGTACCAGCTACTCCCCATCACACAGCTGCACTGGCTCCACACTCTCTGGATTCAGTTCAAATCTTGTTTTCAGTGTGACAGGAACTTTTGTCAACGCTGTAGTTGAGCAACAAGATGCATACCAATAACAGACAGATAAACAAAAATACCGTAGCAAGTAGGCAAGGTTCTGGATCCCGAAACCTTGGGAAAGTTTGGTTAATTTCTCAGCATTAACAGGCACATAGCTATAGCACTGGATGTGCGGTTAAATTGTACCTGAGGTGGCTGCTTCTCAAAGCAGGTTCTGTGACATAACCCAACTTCTGTCCAGGTTGCCCTTGCAGACAATCTGGATCCACGTTGTCTAAAGGTGCCATGTGTCCTCACATCACGTCAGCCTTATCTAAAAGTCTGCAGGACATCTCGTCTGGCTAGCCTCTAATGTATGTTCTCATCATGCAGGCAGATGGGACATAGGGAAGGGACTGGGTCAAGCCATGCTCAGAGCCTGTTAGCACTGCAGGATAAAGATTAGATCCCAGAAGCAAACTTGAGTGTTCTCTGAGCATGTCAGTTTGTCCCAAACTGACAGTAAGTCCCAAATTTGCTCCAGGGGCCTGATGGGGATTTTAATTTAAAGAAGTCATGAAGTTTTTCTGTAGGCCGTGCTCATCTCACTGAGCTTCCCTATCCACTGGATCAAAGAAACTGCAGAGGATTACACACCAGGTATGCACGATTTCATACCAAATGCAAATACGTACTTTAAATGTCATGTAAATATTGTGGATCGCATTCATAGCATGCCAGAGGCCTACGTTAAATACCGTCATTTGCTTTTCTTAAATGCATACGTAATTCATAATGGCCTGCTAACCTCATCAAGTTCTTCATGCTTTCAGGCTGAGACACTTGTATGTGATATACATCACAACCCCCAAAGCATAATGGTAAAAGAAAATAGGAAAATTCCCTCCCTATAGAGAAGACTCCCCTCTGGCTTTAAGGACATACAACTTCCAATTAAAGGCTTACAAAAGGGCTGATAGGAGACTAAGGCTAGGTACTGCCACAAAATACGTCTGGCTGATGAGGTGCCTAGGGCACAGCTGTAGCTTTACAAACAAGTATCAGTAAATCCACCTTTGAATGCAGTTCATCTGTCTGGAGAATGAAGTTCATCTTTCACAGTACAACATGGTCTTCTAGACAGAAGGAGAGAGGAAAAAAAAAAAAAAACATTTGTCATTCCTTTGCCAGGCAGAGTTCAACTTGAAAGAAACCGGATGAATTGTGCATCATTCATCTAAGGAACAAATCTACACTACAGATTTGTCTGAGAGACAAGTGAATGCAGTCCAAAAAAGCTATCCATTTCAGAATGGGAGGCTTGAATTCAATCCAACCATAAAATGCATGCTGAGTAGCATCCATTTATTCAGGCTAGTAATGGCTTCTTTTAAAAGCACATTGCCTTGATCATTTGTGTTAAACATGGCATATATACCAACAAAAATCCCCATCTCTGTGAATGCAGGCTATCTGCCAGCTCCACAAAAGGATTTTTTATTTTTTTTAAACAGCTACTGAGCAAGGACTGTTGCCTGCAGAGCAGATTTTATATGTTCAGTCTACTGTGATCATCAGGTCTGAGTGCACAGTAAATGGAATTCACAAGCCTTTCCAAGTCACCTCCTGTGTAAAGCCCTGAACAGACAGTCCCAGAAGTGAAGTAAGGAACAACTTCTCTCCCCGCCCCTTTGGGCAGCTCGCATACATGCTTTTAGCAGTACCTAAAACAAGAAAAACACCTAGATCCACTTTGCTGGGACTGACGGAAACAGAACGGAAATGAGAAACTGATTGAGTGGTGAGCCAGCTTCTCTTGCAGAGAAACTTCCAACTTTCTTTCCTAATGATTTTTTTTAAAGCACTTCATTTTTGCTTGTATTCCATTAAAAGAAAAAAAAAAAAAAAACTTGGCCCATGAGATGGGTTCTCAGTGCCTACACAGATGAAAGCCGTGAGAGGCCTTAAATGACTTCAGCAGGAAACTACTGGGAAGGGGAGTGGTCTGTTTTCTGACAGTCCCATTACACATTTCTAGGAAAAATCTTTTCAAGTTCTGTGTACGAAAATGAAACAGGATTACAGCACTGCCTCTCTCTTGGAGACGATCTCAACAACACTCTTTTCCTGCTGCCATGCTGGAATGCTGCAAAGTAATTTCCTTTTTCCTCTCTCCTTTTCTCCATCTATCTCAGGATCTCAAGCTCAGAAACGGCACTTGAAATGTGTTGAGTGTAAAACTTCAATCTAAAGTCTGCTCAGATAGGACCCATGTTTTGTTCAGGTGACCTTCAAGAAGACTTTGTTTTCTGCATTCATAAATCCATCTCCCTTTACCCCAAACCCTCGCATGAACTGTTTAGTGAGCTCAGGAGTTTTCCACTTAGTAGCGATGACAAAGCACTCGACTACTGCAAAACCCATGACAGAGAAGCTGAGCAATAACAGCCGCCAGCCAAATAGATCACTGGCGTGGAAGGTCATCCTTGAACTCTATTTCCATTCTTCCCCTCTTGGTAAATTGCTCTGGGAACAATCCTCTCTTCTAGCATAATGTAATCAAGAACTAGAAAGTCACCACCACTTACACAGCGCTGCAATTCCTGGCCTGACTGACCGTGTTGGGAATTTGAACTGAAGTCTCCACCCAGGCAGCATGTGGAACCAATGTAATGGCTAACACAATTCAGAGCTTAAAATGGAGCGACGTTGCAGTTCCAGCTGGTTTTGTAAGTCAGAACAAGAGATTCTTGGAAGCGTTATAGGAGAAATAGAAATAAACAGAGGTGAGGAATGGCTCCTAGTCTGACGATGTACACTAAGGAATATCTGAGTGACAATGCAAAAGGCAAGGCAAAAGCAAAGCCTCACTAGACAGCATTACGTAGCACCACGCTCAGAACCAAGACAGCAACGAGAAAGTGATGACTTTGGGATATGCTTCTTGGGAAAGAGGTGCATTATTTTTATCTCTGCTTTTAGAACAGCCACAGCCCCGTGCATATGGAAAGGTGAAGAGCTGTAACAGCCTAGGGGTAAAAAAATAAAGCTTTCATTTTGCTGAAGAAGAAAGGGTTGCTGTATGAGTTTGACGTGGCCCAAGTGCCCTTAACAGGTTCTGTGACTCACAGTGCTCTACAAATCCCTTAATTATCTGAGAGCAGCATCTCCTGATGTACTGGCTAAATCCAAGCTTACTCTGGAAGGGCTTTCTTTCTTGAAAACTGGTATATTCTTTTTGATCAAACAAGTTTCTACATTATTCCTTAGTCCTAACACGCAGAGACCCAGAATCGCCAACAAGCATTCACCTTACTACCAAACACATTTCCATGGAGGCTGCTGCCTCCACGCAGAAGTTCTCAGCTAGCTGCTAATTCTGACCCAGAGCTTTAGCAATGTAATAAGAAGTTAGTGTTTAAGCATTAGTATTTTTGCTGTATAATTTGGTAGATCTGCCGTCTACCCCATGCCCTTGTTTACTGGCTATCCGCCTTTCCAGCAGACTCAGTCTTCCCAATCTAGTAGTATTTGAATGCAAGAAACCTACTGTTTTGTAGAGAAGTGTATGGGAAAGGAAGGCCAAGCCACAGACTTCAGAGGAGTCTCCTTTGTGTGCCTGTTTATGCCTGCATACCTCATACCTGCATCTAACACACCTGCTATATCCTTATCTGTCTGAGAAAACCCTGATTGCTACACCCTATTTGGGGACCACAGGCAAAGTTCATTGTTCTCAAGAGTTCATCCATCAAGACTAACAGCACAGGTAGGAGGCTGGAGATAAAGTGTTTATACAGTAAGAGAGTCATGATACGAGATCCGCACTGAAATAGATGATTTGCCATTCTCGTACAGAGCACTTGCTGTGTATTTAGAAAATATAGAAAAGATGCAATAGAAGCATTTGAGGAGGAAAAAAAAAAATGCTTCTGAGATTTTCGCCCACAAAAACAAAACTAGCAACTTAGAAAAAAGAAAGAGTGGATTTTTCTTTGAAAAATCTCAGATATCACCAGAGTCTTGAGCAATGAAGTTCTATATTGGCATTACAACAAAATACCTCAAACCATGCTAAACCTGTACATCCCAGTTTAACATCTGCAGGTAGGACTCGCCTTGCAAACCAGATCTAACTAGCATCATCTTTCCTAAGTACGTTCTAAAAGGCTTTAATTCCCAAATGGCCTGGTCTGGAGAAGACAATTCTTGCACTCTCTTGAGTGGTAACAGCTTGAAAACAGCACACTTCAGGCTTGCAAGAGTCCTCAAACATGCTACTACAAATACAACAGCCTTTAAAATTACTAGAATTGACTTTAAAATTACTAAAATGATTATAAAAAAATAAAGGAAAAAACATTTTTCACATAAAAATACACTTAAACTGTTATTTTAAAATAGACTATGAACAGAAGAAAAATGTGAAAGAAAGCTTTGCATCATGTAGGTGTTGGGTTTTTTTTTTGTTTGTTTGTTTTTTGTAGCTGAAGTTCTTTAAATATTTTTGTTTAATTTTAAATTAATATTCTTAAAAGGAGGGAGGGGGGCTAGTTCAGACAGCTATTGAGAGTTGTCTAGATGTGCTCTACACTTTCTTTATGCTTTGTTCTCTGGATAGGACTGATTTTTTCCTTGATATACGCGATTCAGGTGAACTCCAGATCACTTCAGCAAAGTGCAGCTTTACAGGGAAAGACATGCAACAGAGGAAGGACATGCAACAGTTCACAGCTTTAGAAAGGATCCAAGACCAGTCAACAACCACATCTTCTGTAAGTAAAACTACTCCATCTTATAAAATCATCTCATAAGGGAGGAAATATCTAACAGTAATGTTAAATGAGTGTAACAACAAAAACAAGTAGAACTTTGGCTAAAACAATACCTCTGGGAAAAGCTTTGACAAAGTCATTATGATTTTTTTTTCATCATGTTTCTATCAGAGAGCATTGCTAATTTTTAGAGTCTGTTTTACTTGAACTTTTGAACACCACTCTACATTTGCAAAGCATAGTTGTCATCCCAGGGAGAATCTTCAACAGCCTACTGTCTTTTTCAAAGGGAAAGGGAAAACATAGCAAAGGCTTCAAAAAATGTGAGTGAATTATTTCATCCGCTTACAAGTGCAACATGTGCTCTCTCTTCTGTAGTGACACAGTACAGAAAACAAGATCTAATTAAAGCAGTTCCTTTGCCAAATGAGTGGGATCTTGTAAAGACTTGGCACACAACTCAGATTCAAGCTTCCTTGTCTTAAACAAAACTAAACTTAATACGGAATGTAATAATAATGCCCTGATGGGGTCATTCAATATATTTTTTTTCAATCAAGTGACCACAAAATGCTTGGCTCTGTAATCAAAGGGACACTCAGTATCTAAAACAGCAATATTGAAGGAAGCAGGGATTTTTGCGTACTACAGTACAGATGTCATATAAGTGAACCAAAGAAGAACATTTGGCCTTTTGTCATCTTACGTACCAAGACAGAAAAGCTTTGGTCTGGCATACCTTTCCTCTGTTCTACCCAAATGAACACGTGTGTTTTTAACCACACACAAACCAAAAAGCTCACAAGTTCCACAATGTACCTCTGAAATTTAGAAATAAAATTATTTTTCTAAGAAAGTGATTTTCATCTTATTATCTTTAAATAAGTGTGTATATATATATACATATATATATATATATATATATGTAGTGTCTTGAAATAAGAAATATAATCTTAAAATCTCGTGGGTGATATTGGTGGTAGGGGGACAGCTGGACCAGATGATCTTGGAGGTCTTTTCCAACCTTTATGATTCTATGAAACTGCCCATAAAAGGCAGATAGGCAGGGAACCTGATAAAACCAACAAATAGGTTTTTTTTCTTTTCCAGTTGGAGAGAAAATTAAGGTAATTTTGTTTAAAAAAACCAAACAAAACAAAACCCAACAACAACAAACTACCAAAAAACCCACAAACAAACAAACAAACACAACTTTGGTAATACAAACTGAGCATGAGGTAAGGATCACCATTAATATACAAATTTTTTTAAAAATAACCAGGGCCCAACATAGAAAACTCATGGAAGATTCAGTAATAAATAGATTTTGCAGTGCAATGTAAATCCAGATGCTACTTCTCTGTTATTGAGCTCAAGTTGCTGATTAACTCAATACACAACGTTAGCAGAACAGTATAGTTAATTCAAAGAGAGCCAGAAAATGCTCCAAAAAGCCTAAATACTACTCTGTTGAGAAATAAGTGCCCAGGGCTGCTACACCAACTTTGTTAGCCACTAACCTACATCTCACGGTATCCAGCTAACTCACCAGCACCCCAAGTACAGAACACCTCGTAAATACATGAAGCCAGATTACCCTTTCTTCTGAATAGCATTACAGCTCTTTGACAAACTGCGTGTGAAACACAGTTCCTGGGAATATGGATTACAGACAGCTCTTCAAGATGTATTTTGAAAGCACATATGTGGTATTGAGGTAGTTGGAATTTGCATACAGAAAGAACAGGTATGTTTCTAATGCGACCTGGACCTCAATTGGCGTGAACTGTCTTTAAGTGCATGGCCTGTACGAGGATAACATGCACGGAGCACAAAGGGATTTCTGTTCCACATCTGGGTGTTGTACCAGGAGCAGAGGGCGGAGGGAGGGAGGTGAAATCTGCGATGCTGATGTGAAGGTAAGATGCAAGATACGGGCATCTGGCAGCCATAAGAGGCAAATGAGGTAGAGTCGGGCCTCTGGCTGCTTGCCAGCGAGGGTGTGTGCAAGGATAACAAGAGCTTTTAACCCGTACCTAGAGGTCAGGATGGTAGGAACAGAATTATGGCACATTGTACTTTGACTGCAAATTTCTGTGCTTTACAGAGTTTCAGTAAAATTCTACCACAACATTTGATAATTAATGTTTAAAATACATGCAATCAAACTTCAGCACAAATGACCATGTCCACAAAACATCTAGACATACAGGACCCATTAAATTCACTGGGAGTTAAGCCCCTAAATACCCCTAGTATAATGACCAAATATTTAAAGGTGTTATATTTTTCTTTTTCCTTCTTAAAAACTACAGATTGTGCCCGCACTTTGAAACAGATGTCTTTTGCTCGTGGCTTTTTTCAGACCTGTATTTCACTGTAGCTCTCCACGAGTACCACAGCCTGCAGTGCCCCAGGCAGCAGCACATATCTCTGAAGTTTCAAAGATAGTGCTCATGTGTCTCTGGAGCTCATACCCCTCACTTCAACAACTGCTCTTCAGCCTGCTCGGATGCTACCAACCCCACTTACAGGCTGTTGGGACACACTTCCCTGACATAAGTCAGAGGAGTAGACAAGATTACAGATTCGGAATGAGTTCCTGTCCTAAATTCAGTATTAAGAAAATTTTATGCAGTCATTTTTGCGCACAGATTCTCTTGCAATGCCTAGGACCAATCTTAGTTTTCCAAAAAGCAAGTTTTTAATTATGAGCAGAGAAACAATAGCTTACTTCAACATGAAAAAGGATACACCCACTATTTTTCCATGTTCTATAATTCAAAAATAGGTCAACTAATTAGCTTTAAAGCTTTCAAGAAGATTAAAATTGAAATATAGGGCTCAATTTTCTTTTTATTTTTTTAGGCCAGACACAGAGATTAAAAATTTTCAGACTAATGGCTACCTTAAGACAGCGAAAGGAGGAAAAGTTTTGAACTATGAATCTAACATTGACAGAATGCATTGATTCCATAGTAGATTTTTAAACAGAGTAATTTTTTAAACATAGACTAAATGTAAAGCATTTAAATAAGACCATAGCATTAACTACATGACAACTCAGAAGTGCTACAGGCCCTATAATTTGTCATGCTGCACCTACAGATCTACCTGGCTTTTTTCACCTTTTTTTTTTTTTGTTTTCTCCATAGAGTGCACATCTAGAATGCAAACAAGGCCGAAGTACACCTGATCAGCATGCCTACCAAGTCAAGGGACTTCCTAAATTGAATGTGAACCAGACGGAACCAACATGTTCTGAAAAGAGTGACCAGAAAACTGCATTGTTTTTACTCTGTACATTAAAAACATAACACTGGGGGCCAAAATTTGTTTCAATCATGTTTGGCAGTTAATGACAACAGAACTATAATCAGCAGCATGTTGACCCAGCATCCTCCAAGCTCTTTCTGTGTGCACCAGAGGAACACTGTGTACAGACAGAGCAGGAAACACGGTCCCTCCATTCATCGGTGCCGCAGCCACTGTGCACAACAGGCACCACTTTGGAGAAACGTTCCTGCCTGAATTTCAAACAAAGAAAGCCTCACAACTAAAATCCAGACAAAGCCCAACCCTGGTTCTGCTGCTACTGCTCTATGCGCTATTGGAGACTTTTTGAACTCAACTGACTAAAGGGGCTGAACGAAGAGTGAAGCACCCAAAAGGGCTGGGGAGTAACAGCGATTTCAAACCACCTTGTTGTGAGTCCACCCTGGCATCTGTACCAGCTCCTGGTGCCAATGGTACGATTTACACACAGCCTCAAGGCTCCACACTGGTGATGGAGAATTTGATGTGAAGTCTCTCCTGCTCACCTGAATGCTCAGAGCACGGAGGCAAGAGACGCAGCAGCTAGTACAGACACTTTCGGTCATCCAAAGGCTGGTTAAACACATCCAGGGATACAAGCTGCTTACAGCAGCCGAGCATACCACTGAACCACACCCTTCAAGTTATTTCCAGCAATCCTAACAGCCACTGCAGTCAAAGACCGTCTTGGGGTTTCCATCAGAAGTCCAGATCCTGCAAGAAACGCTACTGCAGGATTTGGGGCCATGTTCTACACTTCTCAGGATTCTCTGTCCTTAGACTCAAGTTCAGATCCCTGCCACCCAAACAAGCCTGAAGTAAAAACTACTGGTAAGTACTGGAGGTAAGTCAAACACCACCAAAACCTGATTGCTGAAGTATCCTGTACTTGCAGTCACCTCATCTCAAACTAATTTGATTTTAAAACTTAAGTTAAGCAAGTTATTAGTAATCACTTTACATATATTTCTTTATTTTGTTGGGGAAGGAACGGAGGGAGAAGAGAAAAAAAAAAATCAAGCTATTTAGCCTTCCAACTATTTAACATAAAACCCAAAAGAGCTCCATCTGGCAACCAGCAGGATTTCTAAATAATCTAAATAGTATCTACATAAGAACCAGGCTGTCTATAGTAAGACAACTTCGACTTTTACAGGCACAAGAAGCCTTTATTAACATAAAAGGAAATTATAAAAAATTAAGTTAGAACAGGAACAAGAGTCTGGCAAACTGACAAAAGACCCCAGGAATCTCTGAATTAATCTTGAAATGCTGCTTTTGCCTTTGTCGGCACATAGCACCATACACTGTGTAGTTTAAAAAACAAACAAACAAAGCAAAATAAAAACCCTTAGATTCAAAGGACTGTAGTACAATAAAAACAGTTCCAAGAAAAGATTCAGATTCGTTAAAATCAATACATGTAATTCCTCGCTTTGCAACACGAGAAGACCCCTGATGTTTTAACATCGTGGAAAATATTAATATTTAATTACAGACTTAACTGAGTCATGGATGAGGCCCCATTTCCACAGCCATCCTTCTTCATTAATAGTTCATAATGCCACTAACTTTTTATATAAAATTTTGATAATTTGTAATTTCCAAGTAAATAAACACCTCCCCATATTTAATTTCCCAGGTTACCCATAGGAAGGAACTGGCCTTCCACTTCATACCTAGCCTGCCTGGTTTTTGCCCTGTGTGTGAATGCTCCAAGCCTGGTGGTGTTTTGGTGTCTTACACAAGCTATCAACAGTCAGGATGCCACTTTCAAGCTGCCACTGGGATTTTCTGTCAGTGTCCTGGACAAGAGCCAAAGAACGACACCAGTGGGCCCAAAAAAACCCCCGTGTTGTGCTGATCCTGTGAGGATGGGGCAGCCTTGAAGCTGTGCGTTTCCTGAAGCTCTCCTGGGTTCCAGGAAGGGAATTTCTATCTTTATCACTGCCCATCTGGCACCTCTCGCAGGCAGCAAGAACAAAGAGTTGGAGTTAAATGTTCTGGTCCCTACCATCTGCTTCTGCTCGTAAAGTCTACAAGGAGCCTGATAGGGAGAAGAAACAAAAAAAAGCCACCTTCATCTCCCACTGAACTGCTCTGGCAAGTACCTATTTTTGCCTGTACTTCTCAAGGCAGCCCTAGAGGCGTTTGTTTCCCTACAGCAGTACAGCTGCTTGACACAGAGCATCCCAAACGCTGCCAGCCCAACATCTCCATTCACAAACATCTAACAGCCCCGAAAGAAAGGTTGCGTTGTTTGAGATCTGCTTTACTGGATCAGCCTCTGTTCTATCTAGAATAGGAAAATTCCTGTGGGTTTAATAGGAGGTATTACCCTACAGATTTTCTCTGGTTCCACCTCCTTTCCCATCAGCCACATCCCCTCTTGCTGCAAGTCTGCATACACCATGTGTTGGCTCGACCCCTTCTGTCTCTGACAGAAGTTTGGCCAAAAAGAGCAGATTTTCTGCTACTTTGATCATTTCCTGTGGTAAAAAAGTGAAGGGAATTATCTGACCCATGGTCTTTTTTTTCTTAGTTTTGAAAAATAACAAGGATTTACATTTGCAAGTTCCCTTAAATAGCATACTTGCTTTTCAATAGCATTTTGCTGCTGGTTTATTGGTTGTCTTACAGAGCTTTTAACTTTTTTTTTTTTTTTAAATCAGAAAACACATTGCTCTTTCAAATTCTGCAGTCAACTGCTCTATTTAATCAATACAGAACTTCATTACGGTGAAGAAGCAACCAAAAGGTGGTATCAAATCCACAAGCAACGTAAAAGTGGCAGCTTCTACCCTGTTAAAAAATTCTCACATTCAAAAAAGGAGCTTAATTCTCTTTTGGTGGGGATAGTGTTATTTTTGGCTACAAATATGCATTGCATAATGTATTTAGAAATAAGTTAACCCTTTTATTAAGTACACTATTAGAACAAATCCATGATGTGCGATATAAGCAGCCTGAAATACTAAGTTTTCTCTTATCCATGAGAGCAACTTTGGAACCAAGGTTCTCTCTGGAAGGTTCCAGTTCAAAAAACAGGTCTAATGCTTGTCTAACCCTATGTTGAAATAGTGACATGACCTGTTTACCCAAATGGTGTAAGCATTTGGGCAACATGGACCTCAAGTATGAAGCCAAGTGATAATTCGGTGACCATTATGCAGCCTGAAACCGCAACCTGAAAACAAGTCCGTCCATTAGGTATTTTTTTCTGTCCCAGAAAACACAAAGTAAAAGAACAATATAAATATACCCAGTGAAATAACCTTGTATCACAATTAACATTCTATAGGAATACATTCCAGAACAATTATCACAATATACATAGTCTTTATAAATAATTATTTTCCTGTTAACCCTTTACTCAGTATGCATATAAACAGTTGTTTGTATCAAAAGCCCTTTTTTTGAACTTTGCTAGGTTCATAATACATATAGTACAGATTTTGACAGATAATCCCTTGAGCTGAGGCCAGAGGAGTGCATGGCTACCTTTGCTATCAGTGGAAGTTCTACTATGGGAAGAAACAATGAAGGTAGGTACTTATACACTTCAAAATATTATCAGAAAGGGAATCTGCAGTATCCTTGTTAAAAAATGAAATTGTACTGAACCACAACAAAATTGGCGCTATCATTAATAATATATTGCCCTTCATACACAGAGGTAATAAGGAGGCTGCACTGTGATCCATATAACCTCATTAATAATATATAAATGAATCAAAAAGAATCTAATTAGTTCAGCAGTGCCGAAAATTATCAAGTAGAAACATCAAAAGAGCTGGCGGGACTTTTTTCTTTTTTTTTGTCAGACACGCTGCAGTGCTGCCCTTTGGAAGCCTCTGGTTTGTATCTGGAAGCAGGCCTCCCAAATGTAGGTCGTGGTGACTCCAAGGGGCTGGAGCCGGGCGACGGGCAGCACCGTCTCCCCACGTCCCGCACGAACTCCTGCACCACCTAGGATCTATGCAGAGGAAGGGTGGAGCCAGTTCCTCACCTCCTTTCCGCAGCCACAGAAGATAGCACATCCTGAAAGCATTATGTTTGCTACAACCCCTTTTTTCCTCCTTCCCCTCAAGTGCAACTGCGGAAAAGAAGGAAGGGCAGACTGGGGCAGCATCTCAGCTTCCATGGAGACATGTTAGAAGAGATACAAAGGAGAGCTGAGCAGAGAGCTGCAAGCACGTAAGAGATGCAGGACCTCCCTGTAGATGGCCTTGGCTTCCTGCGAGTCCCTTGGGAGCCCTACAGCTGTTCCTGCCATCCAGCTGGGAAAACGTGAGTGCATGCACACACGAGTCTCTGAGGAAATACCTGTGGAGGTTTCTTCCACTGAATAGTCCAGCAAACTTTATCTAAGTCAAAGTTAGAACAGTATCTGTCTGTACCATATACTTATGCATCTGTCTATATCTATACATAAAAGTGAGAGGACTTTTATACCCTACTGCAGCCTCTGCAGCACGTAGTGATAGCGTTACATTGCAGCAGGGATGTAGTGAGAAAGCCATACCCAGAGGAATGTAGCTTGGAGGGATTTTTCACAAAGAAAAGTGCTAATTGTACAATTCACTGAAGCAAAAAATTACATTTAAGAATAAACAAGACCTAATAGTGGGGTCTACTATACTGATTTTCTTTTCCGACCCTTAAGATATGGATATACAAGCTTAGATTGAACCTCCTTTGACAGGATGTATTTGTCCGCTACACAGTCATGTTTTACTTGTGTTCGAAATTAAGTAAAAGCACCATATGCAAGAGAAACAATAACGCTATAGAAGGAAGGCCTTTCACTGCTCTGGGACTGTTCCATATCCCATAACCAAAAGACGCACTTCTTCAAAGAAACAGATAGGACAATGGTTGTACGGTAAAGGTTTAAAACACAGCAACAACATTTTTAGGTACGTTTTCCAATAGCTTTCAACAGTGTTTGATCTGCAGACCTGTAAGAAAAAATCCAGTTATGCAATGGAGCTGTGCAGACAAACGGGGCCTCCTTGCCAAAAGACTTGCTTTTCTTATTTACCTTTCATGGAACATATAGAAGGAAATGGACCCCACAAGCCCACCAAGATCAGGCTGAAAAAATCCCTGCAGTTATGGGAACTTCTGTGGTGTTCCCTGAGGTCCCCTCACAGCTCCCAAGGAATTCGACTGGAGCTGGACTGGGCCTCAAAGTTAGCTAACTTCTCACAGTATCTGCAACATCAAACTTGATGTGCTTTGACAGAAACCTGTACCGAGGAGCTCCAACACAAACCTCTGAGTAAATCAGTGCCCAGCACGCCTTCACACAGACACACAGAATATGCCGGGCTATCCAACAGGGTAAAGTTTTTCAAGAAGTCCTTAATAAATTAAAATGAAAACTCACAAGCTTAACGCACGTGACCCATGACATTTGCAAAAGTTAAAATACACAAACTGCTCAAAGATTACACAGAATGCTGATAATGACAAACAAAGCCAGCCTATGCCATGCCGCAGCAAATTCAGATACAGAAACCCCAGCGCATCCAGCACTGTCCAGCTTTCCACAAATACAATTAAAGAGTATCTCTATCAGAGACGTCCGTCCCAAGGAGGAGGGGTGGTACCAGGGGAGGGACAGTAGTTACGAAAATAAAAGAACTGCATTGAAGCCTGTATGCTGCTGTCTAGAACTACAGTTACATTTGTACCACCCATTCCCTGGGGAAAATGACATACAATGCAAACAGGCCTGGTTGTTCAATTATTCAAGTATTAAGAGATTCACAGAAAGACATCTGAGAAACATAACATTTTAATAGATGAAATAAATACTCCAGTACATGCAAGATAAAAACTGACATTGGAAAAAAAAATTAAAAATCACTTTTGTTATAGTGTAATTTTTTGTTTGTTTGTTTAAACACTCACAGTAGCTTTTCCCCCAGTTTGGAAATCAACACATGGAAAACAAAATCACAACCTCCAGTCCTTCCACTCCTACACACCAAATGCACTTCTAACCTAACACTTGATGCAAAATAAAAAAAAGTCATACAAAACAAAAACAAACAAAATAGTAGCTACATCCATCATCTATGTGGTGGTGTTTTTTTTTTTCATTTTTTAAATGAGTGAGAACTGAGGTAACCTTTTTCCTGAACAACCGAACAGTAAAATTTAGAAGGGAAATTTCGGAAGACAAGACAAGACAAACTTTAAAAACCGCACCCAGCGCGATTAAAGCTATTTTTTTCCTCTCTCTTTTTTTTTCTTTTTTTTTTTTTTTAAGATACCCCCACCTCCCCAAATATAAAACTTTTAAACAGTTGCTGTTACCATTTGTGTGAAGACCATGTTGAATAAAGGAACATTTATCTGCAGATACTTCCTTGACTTCAAAGTAAAATAAAAGAAGCCAAAAGTGGCTACCTTTGTTAGTACGTATAGTTTGAATATGCTGTTCTGCTTCTTCACCACATGAAATCAAAGGATTGGGCTCATCCAAGCAAATTCTTTGGTATACAAAAAAAGGGGCGAGGAGGTGGGCTATTATTTTCCTTTAGCAATGACTGGGATCTAAACAGAAGGTGTGGGGGTTAATTCACAGAATTGGAGTTCACTGGCGGTAAAGTCCTGGGTGAAGATCTTTCTCTTAGTGCCTGAGATAACAGGTTGCAACCATCCGAGACGGCGCAAGCTGAGTTCCTCAACCTTTCCCTGTAATCGCTCATTTTGGTGCTACTTTCGGGGTGTTGGGCTATATCCCTGAGGCATTGGGTCAGGAGCACACAAGCAGATACCACGCTCATGGCTCCTCCTAGGATAGCAGTTTGCACAGCTTTGCCCTCTGGATTAATGGTGGCCGCTTTACCCAAAAACTGGGGCTCAGTGGCAAAGCCCACCAGAGCATAGACAGACTGCACCAAAGGTCCACTGAACAAGACGCAGCGGTTCCTGGTCAGCTCACTGGGTGAAGTCTTGACCTCCTTGACACACGCCAAGAGGGCGGAGGCGCTGGTGCTCATACATTTGACACTGAGTTTGAACTGCTCCTTCGCAAATTTATCCTTGGATTTCTCACTGGCCAGCACGCAGGCGTCTGTCAGGAATTTCAAGTTCTTGGACATGTTCTGGGAAACCTCCAGCAGGAGCTGAGGGCTCATATCTGCCAGAGGGGTGGTCTTCAAGACCCCACAGCCGTGCTCCACCTCATGCCTACATCGGGTCACCTTGTAGCGATCCACCAAGCCAGGCATGGCAGGCTGGGCCCCCGGAGTCTCCACTGCAGCCAGGTAGGCAGCGTGGGCTGAGCATTCGGTCAGGGAGACCACCAGCTCCCCCATCTCCATCAGGCTTTCCCCCACCTCCCCGAAGCGTCCCATATTGAGCTGGCTCTGGACGTCGTGGGTCAAGATGGAAAGTCCTTTGGTCCTGGCAATGATCGTGTCCCTGCACTTCTCGAAGGACTCACCGAAGACAGACAAGCTCTCGGTGTTCACCGGCCTGGTCTCGCTCGACAGCAGCAGCAGATCGGCCACCAGTTGCATCTTGATCTTGCAGTGGTCGCAGATAGAGACGAGCTTCTTCCTCTGCACGGAGCCGCTGCTGGGGACGCCGCCGCCGCCGGACACCTCGCTGCTGGACTTGCCAGAGCCGCCGCTAGCCATAGCGCCGGGGGGGCACTCGCATGCCGCTCGCTACCCCGCTGCCACCGCCTCTGCCTCCGCCGCCCGAGCAGTCCCGACTGAGCCCGGCAGGATCGCTCTGCCTTTTCCGCAACATCATTCCATTAATCGCCGGGAGGCGAGGGCAGGCTGCTGCGGGGGGCGAGCTCCGCCGGGGCTCCCGCACCGCTCCGGCGCCAGCCTCCGCTCCTACGAGGCTCCAGCGGCGGCTCGGAGCTCGCCGGGACCCCCGGGCCCCCGCTCGGGCATGGCGCGGCTAATTTATTAGCGCCGTTATTATTTCACCCCTCCTGCTTGCACTTCCCTCGCCTTCCACCACGGAGAAGGGGGGGTGTGGGGGGGGATCCCGGCGCGAAGTTCCCTCGTTCAGGAGCGCCTCGGAGCAGCGGGGGAGCCGAGGGGAGTCGTGGCGAGGGAGCAGCCCCTCGGGTCGCCGCCGTGCCCGGGCTCCCGAGGTGGGCGAGCGGCAGCCGGGAGCGGCTCGCAAGGGCCGGAGGGGCGGCGGCTGCGCACCATGTGCCGCCCCCGGCGGCCCCGCGCCGCCGGCTCGCAGGAAGCGGCGCGGAGGGTGTGGCTGCCGGGGAGGGGAAGGGAGAAGGGAAAGGGAAAAGGGAGGAGGGAGGGGGAGAGAGGAGGGGAGAGGGAACCGGAGGGGTTAAGACCGCGGGAAGGGATGGGAGGAGAGGGGAATTGAATTGAGAAAAAAAAAAAAAAAGGAAAAAAAAAAAAAGCCACCGGATCCGGGTGCTGGGGGGGAGCGGAGGGCGGGATCCGTTCGCCTTCCTCCTGCGGCTGCCTCACTCCTTCCTGCCTCGAGCGTTCACGCGGCCGCCGCCAGCTCGCTCCCCGCCGCGGTCCATGCCCGCTCCGTGCCCGGGCCCCGCCGACTGGGCGCCGCCGCCCCGAGTTAGGCTCTTCCCGCAAACAAGGGCGGGGGCTCCGGGCTACAGCCGCGGATGCCGCAACCCGCCCGGCCTGGC